TTAATTTATTACGCAACACTTTAACATTACTTTCCGATATTTTTGACATACAGATGGTAGGATCAACAAAGCCGCTTTTGCAGTTTCGTCAGCTTTTCAAATTCTTAGTACATCATTATGTCCTTGAAACTAAACAGATAAAACAAGATAGTTTGTCCAATGTAGCCAAAAGAGTACTGGAAATATGCATATATATGTTCTATGTATTATTCGCACGGACCAACTAATAATTCTTAAAACCTGATATTGCCATCTCTTTTTTGTAAACCACTTTCTTTCTTTTTTTTTTTTTTTACAATTTAGCATGACTATTCAATAAATGTTAACAAATGGATTATAAATTCTCACCTACTGGTCGCTATAAAAGGTAGCGTCTATTATCGAATTTATAGCAGTCGTAAAAGTTATCTTGAAATCCTCACGATTCTCCTTCAGGCTGTTAGCGATAAAGGAGTTCCCCCCATCAATAAAATATGGAACTCCCAACCCTTGAACTGAACTGAACTAAATAAAAAAGGAAAGGAGAGGAAAAAATCGGTAGGGCTGTTAATAAGTTTTATTACATATCGAGTTTATTGTTAGCCTCGGGGGTAATAAAACGGTTTTAGTGTGGGGAGGGGAGAGGACCCGAATAGATAGTCCTTTAATGATTCCTTTCAAAGCGTGTCCTTACCGGTCGGCAATAAAGTCTTATCTTTTCTCCCTTTCCCCTCTATCGCCCCTCCCCCTTCCCCCTCCTTGTCATCATAGCTCTTGATAGGCTCCCACTTTTGTCTGATACCTGCTATCTGACTTTATGTCATCAATAAATCTTTCAGATGCATCTCTCTACTCATTATGATAAGGGACATTTCGCCTATAAAGATTTGTTATCGTATAGTTCGTTTGTTTCTGTAACCGTATATGTAGTTTATTTTTATTTTTTTTATAGTAAAGGTCATGTGATAATCAGCGACCACAACAAATCATGGTTGTAAAAAAACCTATATAACTATATTTCATCAAAAATTTTCCAACATAAATTACATATTTTATTGGTTGTAATTAAAATATGTTTACTTTAGCAAATAAATAAAAACTTTAGTGATAATTATATAAAAGTTCAAGTCAAATACACCAATTTCAATTATTTTATGTAATAAATCTTTAATAATATTTAATAAATATATTTGATAATACTGGCGACTTTTGCTGATGACACCGCCATTCTATCATCCGACTCAGATCCTGATATAGCATCCTTAAACCTTCAAAGACATCTCTCCCTGATTGAACACTGGTGTAATAAATGGCGAATTAAAGTAAACGAATCCAAATGCCAACACATCACCTTCACGCTCCGACGCAGTTCCTGTCCACCAGTACACTTTAATTCCATTCAGCTTCCTTTCTCGGACACAGTCCGGTACCTTGGCTTTCTCTTAGACAGACGACTAACGTGGAACCCTCATACTAGACTTAAAAGACAGGAACTAAACCGACGATACGGACAACTATACCGGCTACTAAACAGAAAATCAAAACTTTCCATTGAAAACAAGTTACTGATCTACAAGACAATACTGAAACCTATCTGGACTTACGGACTTGAACTGTGGGGAACAGCAAAATTTACTAACATCAAACGCATCCAATCCTTCCAATCAAAAGTCCTTCGAACAATAGCCAATGCTCCTTTCTATGTAACCAACAAAACCCTACACCATGACCTTAATATCCCATTTGTCCTAGACCTTATCCCAGCAAAATTCTCCAAATTCCACCAGAACCTTACCCATCATCCAAATCCCTTTGCAAAATCTCTATCCAGCACCACCCATCCATATAATCCTCCAAGGAGGTTAAAACGGCAGTGGCCCCGCGATCTTTTATAGTTTGTAAATATTGGAGTTCTGGCAATGGCCAGATTCTCCACTCACGACATGAGTGTATGTGGCTAAAGCACTCTTGCTCAATCTCCACTGGGTTTAGCCCTAGTGACGCGGTTGAGAGAGGAGTGCAGGGAACTCCTGGAGTCATACTTTTCCCTCCACAGTTGGAGGGACAAGTCTGGTTTGGAGTTCTCTCGCCAAGTTGTAAATATTGTATATAGGTGTGCATGTGTTCTTTTTATTTATTTATTTTTAGGTTATTTTATTCTTGTTTATTGTATATATATTATTTTTCTGTATAATTTATTTTATTTACTGTACATAGAGTGTGAATGTGATCTGTGAACACTATTATTAATGTCCCTGAGACAGATTGTAATATATTTCAATAAATAAGCTATTAGAAAAAAATAATAATAATAATTTTTTAATCATAGAACTGAAATATTAAAAGTGTTTCTATAACATAAATCAAACAATCTTAATAATAAATAAATAGTACAACTTATGTACACATACATATAATATATTTGTTATATATATTATATATATATATATATATATATATATATATATATATATATATATATATATATATATATATATATATATATATTTGTTTTTCGTTATTCCCTACCTTGCCTTTTAGGCTATACAAGATTTCCCCGGGCCAGGGGGTGAGGGCGAGGAATTCAAAATCCCCTTTTGTACTGGAAAGCGAACTCGTACTTTTTAAATCTTTCATAACTTCTATTGTCTGGTTGCCGGACAAATTCGCGGTGCTATGCATACGCGTAAGCTCGATCGGCCAGCCCGCCCCACATTATATTATATTGTTAGCACAACAAAAGCATGAGGAACTCCTCAACCGTTCTACCCCGATTCTTCCAATAGCCAACTTGAGTGTTATTCTCCCAGACCCCAACCTTCTATCTAGATATTCTAAGTTTGTTTGTTTATTTAAGTTTTAAGGCGTAAAACCCCAAGGTCATCAACGCCTGTGAGTCAGTTATGTTCGTAAACTCTTTAGAGGAGAAACAGAAAAAAAAATGAACAATCAAAAATTAATAATAGATAGATATAGTGGTATATGAAAAAGATACCCAAAAACATATAAAAAATGAAATATATTAAAATAAATACAAAAAAGAACATTAAAATACAAATTATATCTATTTTTATATTTTATTTAATAGCCTATGGATTTTAAGAAATGTTATCACGGTTCCTATGTTTGATTCGTCGTTGTTTAATACTGCTGATATATCCGGTTTTAGAGATAATCAATTTAGGCTTGAAGTATAATAAGTGCATTCTTGGAAAATATGGTTGGCTGTGAGAAGGCTATTGCGATGTTGACAATTTGGTGGTGGCTGCTTAGTGATGAGATGTACATGAGTTAGGTTCGTTTGTCCTATTCTTAACCTGGTCACAGCGACTTCCTCTCTACGATTAGGGCGGTTTGATGTGATCCAGAGCTTAACTGATTTTTTTAAAACTTTTAATTTGCTAGGCAGGCTTTCGTTCCACATAGACTGCCAACTATCCAACATTTCTTTTTTGAGAGGAAAACTCATTTCTGAAGGGGTCAGGATAGGAGTACCTCGGTCTGGAAGCGCGAGTGCCTGTTTAGCTGCCGAATCCGCAAGCTCATTACCAACTATACCCACGTGACTTGGAACCCATATAAAACAAACCGATTTAAGATATTTTATGTCTTTCCCGAGTACTTACGGTTTTCCTGGATACAGTTTTTTAGCTGCCCTCTCCTCAATCTTCCAGTGAACATAGCTTCGCCATTATAAATATAGATGTTCGTAAATTATATTTACTTATACTTTTTACTCAACTCACCCAATGTTCATTCTCTGATATACAAAGCATTTCACAGTAAAATTCAACCTGATGATCAACCAAGCAACATGTCATTCTAAAATCATAACCTCTTTATATGGTTTTCTGCTTATCACAAATTTAATTTCATATGAAAATATTTTTTTTTCATTCATCTAAATTCGAAATTTTTAATGGTTAGTAAGATTTTTAATCATGCTGCTTAATTTTTCTAGGAACTAGGTAGATAGAAAAACATTAATCCTGGCCGTAAAAGAGAAATCTCTTTATTACTATGTTATTTTATTGTCTTTAAATAAATTATTCAATAATAACCAAGGAAAACTACCGTTTGATTATCTTTTACCGAAAATTCTTTATTTCAATATATTACAATCTTTCACATCTAATGACAATAGTAATATCGATAGAAGAATAGCTTATTCGCACTGTGTACAATAAATAAACAGCAATATAATAATACTAAAAGTAAATATACACAAACTAAACTAATGAAAATAACTACTTAAATACACACATGGTTTCAAACAACGTGATTCTTAAAGAAAAAGCGAACTTCACCATTTGAAATTTTTCTAATCCTTCCTCATTAGTGATAATTTAAATATTAAGCCATTGATAGAGAAATAGAATTCACTTCAATGGAATTGAAATTTTTATGGAAAGTATAACACTTAATAGGAAGATGTAACAGTAAATTCATTATCATTTATTGAGATGGTACTGGGCGTACATAATCCATTTAGAGTCCGGGAAGGATATTTTTCAATGCATAAAAAAAAATAAAGAAGCTTCTTTATGCTTTACTTATGATACTTTCTTAGAAAAGCGGGGTTCGAAGAATATGTTTTTATATTTTATAGAAACTATAATCTTCTCGTCTGATTGAAAAAAAAAAATTATCGCCTATAGTGATTATAAATCATAAATTATTATAATTCAATTTAAAGAAAATAACTAAAAACCACCGTGTTGAGAGGTCCACTTCCCAGGTGGCGCTCAGAACGAATATAATTTTGAATACTCTTTAAATAAATTAAAAAATCAAGAAACAATTATGTTCTCGTCAAATAAAAAATTATAATATTTTTTGTAGCAAAACTATCTGTAAAGAAGAAAAAAAAAAGAAGAGCCTCTTTGTGGAGCACAGAGTAGTCATTTCCCAGTAGATAGCATAAATATTTTTTAAATTATTTGTGCATACTCATCAGGGGTAAATGCTCGACCAATATTATGGACGGTTTAAAAAAATATATAAATTATTTTTTGTTACAGACGAGCTGAGAATTGTAAAGGACGGGCAATATGGAGCTGAAAACTCAGATGTAAAAGGTGGTTGGGATGGAATGGTTGGAGAACTCATACGGAAGGTAAGTCCATCGTCGAGATTGTAAAATTATTATTTACTTGATTTTTCTATAGAAATATATGAAACAAAGAATAAATGAACAAAAATTTACAATGCATTACATACAATTTAGATATGAAATATTTTTTTATCTAATAAAACATTTTATTTCATTTCAAAAGCACCCACTGTTTCTTAATATTTAAATAATATTTTATATCATTAAATTTACTGGAAATTTACTATTTTATGTCAAAAGAAATTAGAATACCTAATGTACTATATACTTTTGCGTTTCGTACGAACAACAAATGATTTATGAGGACCTACAAATCTTAAACACTAAGAGGTTTCTGAAACGGTATTAGATTTGAAATCATCTGTGATTTATTGCATATACTTTATCTCTTCACTTATACTTCAACATCTTTTATTTATTTTCTTTTTGATTAATTGAATAATATAGCATTCTGTCACTTGAGCAATAATTATTAATATTAATAAATGGGTAAGACAAAATTCACATTATATATACAGAAAATGTCTAAAACATAAGCAAAATAACAACTCAATAATAATCAAAAAGTATATACAATAAATAAAAATAAAATAACTTAAAGATAAGTAAATTAAAAAAAAAAAACTGTAAATACCATTATACTCTAATAGTCCGCGGTGCAGACTCCGTTTTATCAAATTATTAACATCTGGCTAAAACTTCGTTAATATCTTGACCTCATCATAACCTACAAATATGTTATTTGCGAAAATTCTCGGAATTGGGGCGTTTTCAATATGGAGGTCGGCAAACTTTGTCTATTTAATTAGATACTAAAAACTCATAAATACCCAATTGCTTTCCGATTTAATCGTAAGATAACTTGAGCACAAAGTCTAGAAAAATGATGCCTTCAAAAATATTGACTCGTTTGGCCTATTTTGACAATTTGGGGGTGTAGGTCACGCCAAACTGGTAAATATTTTTGAAGGTAACCGTTTTCCTCGACTTTATGCTCATGTTATTTTACGATTACAATGGAAAGCAAATGGGTACTTACGAATTTTTCGCACCTAATTAAATATACAATCTCCAGAATGAAAACGTCCCAATTCCGAGAATTTTCGCAAATAAAATATTTGTAGTTTACGATGAGATGAAGCTATTTACGAAGTTTCAGCCGGATGTTAATAATTTGATAAAAAGGGGTCTATACCACGGACCATAACTTCAACATCCATTTTTTAATATGATAAATTAAAAGTACTTGCATATAGATTGACCTCTAAAATAGACAAATGACAATAATAGATGAGATTGAAGTAGTGTACACAGTGAACAATAGGAACTGAATTTTACTAATGCAACAGCACAGGTAAGTTTCAGAGCAAGGTTGAAAACCACGAAATGATAAGTGGTTTAATCCCACAACTATATCTGAGTAGAGTATCATCCAGACTATTCACTTGCATTTTTTAAAACAATTTTGTTTAAATATTCAGTGAACTAGGATAGAAGTGCGGGGAAATAAGGATTTCATCTTTCAGAGGAAATAAAAAATCTGTTAAAAATTATCCTCAAGGTATTCCAAACTCTTCATCCAGATAGCAGTCACAAGTATCATCACACTTACAATTACAATACTTTCAAATAATCAGCAATTCATATTATATTTTAATTCACTTTTGAAACAAATCTCTTTCGTTCCTATTTTTAATTGACGTTGATGAATAAGATTACAGTAATATAAAAAAATAAATAAGAAATCTGAGAATACCAAAATCAATATGGCACCAACGAAGCGAAAGCCGGGTGAAGGGCTGACCCAGTTGACAACAGATAGCACCTGCCTACGAACAGTACTCACCCAGCTGATAAGGTATTCGTCCACGCGGAATATATCCTGTCACCTGAAAAAACCATTCACAAAAAAAAAAAAATCAAAATTTATGGCTTAATATCTATTTTTGTGTATCTTATTCGATTATATTTATACATGCCTATAGATTTTTTAAAAATTTATTTGCTATACAGAGAGACCCGTAAATAATGGAAAATATATATATTAGAAAAGTAGTGATATGTATTTTAATATTAATAACTCAATATATTATTGAGTATATATGTATTTTTTATTTCCGACATGAATGCAAATATCTTAAACTGGGCTAAATTTTCTGCAAACTCAACTAGAATTCGTGTTTATTAAAAACATTTTAGAAGGGCTAACCAACGCTGTTCTGTTTTGTTTATATATATATATATATTTTTTTTTTTTTATTTTTTTTGTGGTTTATTATTTTCAATAATGAACCATTGTGATCGACCAAAAAATTCAAAAACTTAACCCTCTCTCAAAATTTGAGGCTTTAGGTTTCAGGATAAGTAGAATTCGAAAAACGTAAAAATGTGTTTTTCCGTCCGCCGTCCGAGCATTTTTTCCGAAACTACTGGACCGTTTTTTTTCAAATTTGGATGTAAAATCAGAGCTCACACGAGGATGATCCTCCTTCATCGACATTACTATCCGCCTTTTACTTTCAAATTGGCGGCCGAAAAACCTGTGTTGCTATAGACTGTAGCGCCTAAAAGAATGTAGCGACTTCAATGAAACTTCGCTAAATTCATTTTCTTGACGCCCTTAAAATTATCTATGTAACATTCAACGAAAAGAAGCTGAAAAAAAAGTTACGAGGGATTGTAAAATTAAATTTCGAATAACTCAAAAAGTATACACTTCTTGTAAATATTGTGATAAGATGTTTCAAAGGTACTAAAATTTCCTAAAAATGAAGGAAGTTTCATTGAAATCAAAGCACTATTAGTATAGTTATCGCGATTTTAATGTATTTTTATTTAATATATAACTCCAATTGTATACGCTTTTTTGTATATGGGTTTGTATATAATACACCATGTTGTATAAGGTTTTTTAAAATTTTAAGTAATTGCCTAAAATTGGACAATTAGGAGCAAGATATGGTCTCTAGTTTTTTTTTAGGTATGTTCTACTGCAGAGATTATAAGATTCTTTGTTTTGGTTTTTGAATTTTGAATGTGTTACTGAAGTAATGCTAGATTTTTTAGCATATTACTTATGATTAAAACAAAAGTTTATACCAATAATTGGAATCACCTTTTATTTATTTTTCTTTGTAATTAGGAAGGTAATGTATAATTATAGATGTATAATTGTTTTAGATGTATAATTGTTTGGAAATAATAAATCATTGTGAAATAATTTGCAGCGTTTTAATTATGGAATAAAATAGAAAAAATAATTTTATTCTTTGACTAAAGTAACCTATTTGAATAATAAGAGTTAAAATAGAAAAAAAAATTGAAACCATCAGTCTAGCTTGACAAAATACAAAGAGCTATTTGCCATTTTACTGTAAATTTCAACTGTAATTGCTATTATGCAGTTATGTGTTGTGAAATTCTATCTTTTCGCAGTACCGGTGCTTTCAGATAAATAAATTGTAACAATTTTTTTGAAAACTCATATATCATTTCTTTTTTTTTTTTGCACAATGTAAAGTATACTTTTATTTATTAAAAATATGCTACTTTTCAAAAATAAATATTTAATAATTATCACGGAAACTGAAACGTTGATTTTATATACAGGTTTCTATTCTGGTACTTGATCATTATTCTATTTGCTGACAAGTTTAATTTTCTTATGTCGTAATCCCAATTATAATATTTAGGTTTTCATAAAAATAAGTAAATGATAATAATAAGTTGCTACCTTAAGTTTATTTGAAGACATCTTAGTAGGAAATATTACGTTCAGATTGAGTATTTAAGCATTTTGAAATTCAATGAAAGAACCCCTATCTCAATTGAGAAATATATTTTTCTGAAGTAACATTTACCAGGAATGGAGTTTTAAATTGTCAAGTTATCATTAGTTATTAAAAATATATAAATCCTTTTTTTTTTCTCAGTAAAATCGAAAAAAACATTGGTTTTACTGAAGTTCTGGATCAGTCCTAAACAAACGTTAACCCTTCAGATATTAATTAAATTCTAAATTAAACAAGAAGAATAAACATGAAATAAATCAACATGCCTTTTCCTCCATCAATATTAAAAATAAACTGTCAGAGTGAATGTTTTGTTTTACAGGAACTGAGTTAGCAATTGATTGTTAAATAAATTATGAGATAAAAAAGATTAAGTAAAAAAAAAAAAATTAAAGAATTAGGGGTAAAGCATATAAACCCCGTACCCCATCGACTCACCACGTTATATTAATTAAAAAATTAAATTAAATTGTAATCGGGACTTTGTTAAACAAACCATAATTGGAACTGGACTTATTAGTCTACTATGAAGGTGATTTAATTTTATATAGGTCGTTAAGAAGCTTTCTGGGCACTCCACATAATTTTATTTTTTATATATATTTATCAAAAATAATGAACATATAAAACATGAATTCCTTTCTAAAAGACATTTCGAAAATACTCCAATAAAATGCTAAATCTGATTTTCTGGCATTTTCTGTTTAAAAACTCAGTTATGGCCAACGAATGTTGTTATTAAAAATTTAACTAGAACATCAGAAATATATTTTATAATTATCTTAATGGTCGAATAGTAGATAGAAGATTCAGATACTGAATTTTTCTTCTTTTCTTCATAGACAATCCTACCTTTATAGGTGGAGTCAAGCAGAAATAACCATCTGTATAGTTTGTCCGCTCCAGCCAAACCATAGGCACTGCGAAATCCATAGATCGTTTCTTTTTCCTCATCCATTCTCGCAGTGTAACTGAACATGCGTTGCAACATATATGTGGGGACCAGGATAAGTCTCGGGCTCCACATATATACTTTAATTCCGAAATAATGCCGATAGGCAGTGTTTACCAGAGACGTAATATTGCGTTTCTGTGAAGAACATGTTATTTCACCACAAATATAACAAAAATTATTCACCATATTCACACATCTCCGTGGCATTTTTACGAATTTTATTCTAAAAAAGCACTCTCAAACCAGAAATGTCAGCA